CTTCGATTTTTGACTTCAGTACCTCGTTCGATCAGAAAGTGAATCTAGTAAGTACTTTGGGGGGGAGGGGGGGTTAAAAGTAAAAAATTCTTTATACTTTTCTAAATAATCGAAATAAACAAACTAAAAATAAAGGGAAAATGGGAAATTTTACGTTAAATTATTTTTAAATTATTTAATTTTAAATTATCAGTTTTCGACAAAATCGATTTTGGTTTTTGATTTAACTTTAAAACAAATGACCATAGATACATGAAATTTTCACCGAATGTTGATATAAGTACCTATATTCTATCCACCATGCAATTTTCAAAAATGTTCGACTTAAGTTGAACTATTCATAGGTATTTGCAATTTTCGATCATTATCAGTCTTTTTTAAACTAATATCGATAAAAATTTATTTGTTGGGTAGAAAAGCTTGAAAATTTAATACAAGGATTTTAACACATTGTAACAATACTAGATGAAAAATATAAAAAAATTAAATCTAAGATTTGAAAATTAAATACAAGACTCCTAACATATTTTTATAATAGCAGTTGAAAAATAAAAGATATATTATGTAGTCACAACTTTTTTTTACAAGCATTCAAATTTTAATTTTGACAACATACGTAAAAATCACTAAAATTTGCAAATTATTTTAAGCTATAGAAAATTCATAAAAAATTTTTTTTTTTAAATCTAAGATTTGAAAATTTTTAATAATCTATAATATATCCTAGAAAAATATATACATTTCCATTCAAATTCACAGTTCTATTCGTTAAACAATGAAACACGGGCAATAAATTCTGATCTAAAGCGACTGTAAATTAAATATATAATTATCATATAGTATTATCATTAGATTTCTATTAACACTCGCTGCTAATAATATAATATTATTCAAATGACAAATTTAATTATTTGTCAAATTACTCTATTTAATAAATAAATCAATGGTATTAGATGCCAATTGCAGATTTAGTTGAATCAACAATTTAAAGAACGACAATTTTAATAGGAGCAATCGAGCGTGTTAGATGTTAGTGATGGATAATTTTATTTAAATCACGAAGAAAGGTAGAGATTTTTAAAAACAAATTATCAAATATATAATATGGAACAAAATGCACTTTACCAACCCCCTCACGATATTCAATTTTTTTTAACGACTTGTTTTTCATGCTTAAAACGATTGTGTAATTATTTTCACCGGAAACTTTTATTTTAGAAGTTATAGCCTTCCAAAGTTTGCGATCTTACTTTTATACACGTCATGCGCCCGACACTTCAATGCCGCGCGCATCGCTTAT